CGTTTCTATTTTTCAGACAAACCCTCATCATTTCAAGCTATTGTTGGGCCATACCCTATGTGTTTTATCATTTGGGATGGTGTTATTATCATTATTACTAGTTTCCCACATCATCCCACGACTTTATCTTGTTGATGATGTGGTAAAACCATTTTTGTGTGGTACATCTTTACCACAACATGATGAAACAAATCATCCCTCCTTGCCACGTTTGTAGCCAATCTCTGAACCTCGTGCAGGTCAGGGAGGCCGGAAACTGATCAAAAAAGGAGGCTTGATATAGATTTTAATGTGATAATATGGTTTATAAATGTGATTGTATACCTTAATCAAGGATGATAGGGATGTTGTATATACATATATGAGTTAAATCACCCGATTCATGTGTTAAATCGCCAGTTTTTTTCAGCTATCGGAGATCATTCTCGGATCTGCTTCAAGAACCCCCAAAAAAAAAAAATATTCCCTGCAGATCTTTCAGCGAATCCAGGCTTTTTCTTACATTAATCCCAGTATTTAACCCATATCTTCTTACATCAACCGCATATTTCATCCATATCCATGATTTTCTGACATGAGTCCCATCGTCATCCCATATTTTTTCCATTTTTCCCCAGGGAGCTCCAGAACTTTGCCCCACATTTCCACGCCAGGGAGCTCCAGAACTCGGGGCTGGGGCGTAACACGCCGCTGCCGTCCAGGACGCAGGTGTCGGTGTCGAAGTGGTCCTACCACTGGAAATCTTAGGGGAAATATATGGATATCTGGTACAGATATCTGGGAAAATATAGAGATTATAGTGGAAAAATATGGAGAAATCAAATATGGACATGAGTTGAACATATTAATCTCCAATATTCATCTCTAATTTTAAGTTGAACCTCCAGAAAAAATGTAGATTATACACTGGAGGTCATGGAAAATATATGAGAAAGACTTGGAAGATATATGGGAGAAGTGGAAATCTGACTTGACCCTGGGGTAAACATACAGAAAGATGTGGAACAATGGTTTACAGATGGACAGTTACTGGAAATAATGTGATATACTGAAAACATATACATATATATATATGTATTATATATATATATATATATCATATGGCAAATCTGAGTTTGACAATTCATATGTATGGGATTGTACTGGCAATATCTGGTTAAATGGATGTTTATTCCCCAAAAATAGCTGGTCATGGATCTTAATTGAATAGCTGGTATTTCATACGTTTTGACCCATTATATGCCATTATTATATATTATATATGCAATTATATGCCATATCAGTCCGATATTATCCCATTATATATGTGTCATTATATGCCATATCAGTCCAATATTACCCCATTATGTGCCATTATATGCCATATCAGTCCGATATTATCCCATTATATTCTATATATATATAATTACAAATGTCTATAGTCGATATTTCTCATCACATTGATGGTGTTCCGATCAATACCTTCTGGTAAACTAAGACAACTAGACAAAAAGTACCCATTTTTTATGGGTAAATCTCCACGGACTAAATGGCCATGGCTTCAATAGCAAACACTTAGTTTACCAGAGGGTAATCCAGGTATCTTCTGGACTACGTTTTTCCCGTTGCTCCTCCCAGAGAAGCTCCCAGATCGCTAGCCCTTCCGCCGCCTCAGTTGTTTTTTAACGGATCCAGGGGGACGTCCGACGTGAATATCCAAGGATTGAACTATTGAGTTATGTTAAAAGTTAAAATTAAACTAATTTCACTAAGTTTGAACTATGAAGTTATATATACCTATTATATCCAGATGATTATATCCGCTAATATACCAGTATAAAATATCCCATCAATCTCAATATAATTACCTCCACTAATCTCAATATATCTTTGTATACTGGTTAAAAAAAGAAAAGACTATTACATCCTCATTCTAACCCATCCTAATGTATCATTAATGAAATATATCCTAATGTCTCCCCAAACAGACCATCCCAACGATGATCGCAACATGCCAAGCGGCCGGCTGAGCCTGTCCCATGCATTTCCCTTGTTCCCATGGCGCACCTCAGAGTGTCGGATCCATGCTTAAAACACAAGATAGGATTCAATAAAGATAGGATTCAATAAAGCTTGGATTCAATAGTTTAAAGCTATTTACAGTAAATCTTAGAAATTAAAAATTGGTTGTTTTTGCAAATCTTTATAGTCTGTATAAATATTGATGAATTGGATACTGCAACTATTCAATCAAGAATAAAGTCAATGTTGCCCTTCTTTGTGGACGGAGATTCCTCCAGTAAACTGGATCACCAAGGTTTCTCCACGGAAAACCCCAAGAAAAAAACATGATGAACTCAAAGAGTTCAGGGTCGAAATCGACCCTGATCCAGAGAGTAACTTGGATCTAAAGTCACTCATACTATTGGTTCATTAAGGCCTATTTAAACACAATGGCGCCAAACTACGGCATCTTGTGGCAACTCCATGGCCACGGATGTATGGCCAGCCATTATTGGACTTTATCTGTACCCCATTTTCAGAACCAAATCCACCTTCCTTCGACGTGGTAATGCCTGGCACATAGCTTGACCATCTCCAAGCTGTTTCAAAATGTTACATCCCAAAAGATCAGCAAGGTTTAAAGGCCTCAGCTGAAAATGTGGTATACGGAATACCACAATGCCTCCGCGTAGGACATGGGAATAGGGCCCTCTGCATTTGAATGAGCGTCGATGCTGGGGATCACAAAATCCACTTTGTGTGGAGAAATATTGTATTGAGAATAAAGGCTATCAAATTCCTGTAAAGAAACGGTGTGCCCATGTGAAGGAGCCTTCTGATATGAAGCCTTCGCAAACCAGCCCAAGTGGGCACCCAGATTGCTCGTCTTCGTGCGAAAAGAAAGGCCACGAAGAGTCATATTGTCATATTTTGTCATACGAGAGACTACTAAGTTTCGTTCTTTGGAGGTCTGCGAAACGCAGCTCCACAGCATAACCTCCTGAGTCCTCCCAGGGCTTCACGTTGATCTCAAATCCTCCATGTTTTGTGAAATTCTCCATGACACAAATATCATATATATGGTTAATATATGGTTAATATATGGTTAATATATGGTTAATATATTTGTTAATATATGGTTAATATATATATATATGGTTAATATATGGTTAATGATGATCAATAGACTATCTGGTTGGTGGTTGACCTACCCCTCTGAAAAATGATGGAGTTCGTCAGTTGGGATGATGACTATTCCCAATATATGGGAAAATGAAAAATGTTCCAAACCACCAAACAGCATGTATTGTTGCCTATCTCAAAATATCCTTAGAACATTACAGTATAGCATTCCCGGCCACTGTATAGGTGCGAAAATGTACTGACCAGCTTTCCTAAACCTGCCCCCGCAATGCTAATGACTTAATTTACTTAATCCCAAAAAATGGCATGTACTTAATCCTTGCATCAAGGCATATTTTTGAAATAGCATGTAATTAAATACCATGGGCATCCCCATCAATATTTTTTGCAATAATGTTTGATACATCGTTGGGATATAGTTAAATAGCATCAAATATTGACTATATCCATTGAACCCAACGATAGCGTTGATACATTTTACAACATTTGATACATCGAATACATCGTTGGGATTATGATTAATACAATTTGTAACCCCATTTTGAAAACATTATTCAAATTGCATCCCAACGCGCAGGAAATATTGATGGGTGGAGGCAGTGGAGGTTCCCACCTGGTGGAAACCATAGACTTCACCTGTTGAAATTCCGGGGCACCAAATCTTAAGTGGTTTTGCGAGCCCATCATTTCACATATATATATATTAGATATATACCACTTAAGATACATATATCAACATATGTATATATATATATATACGTGCATATATATATATATAGATAAACATACATATATCATATGTACCCCATATAATAATATGTTCAGCTACCAAAGTTCCCTGAGTTTCAGCACACTTGGCAGTGGCGTATCCTGGTGTACACCTTGCCTGCGTCCAGCCTGCAAGTCATGTCGGATGGATCCCCCATCGGGGGAAATGGATGGTTGATTATTGTGTACACCCCATTAATGTATGAAAAACTAACCAGCAAATCCGAATCCGGGACCACTTTCATCAATGATTAAACGATATAAACCTCCGGTGTCATCAAACACGGCTAGGAAATTGCCCAAACTAAATGGGTGTTCAAATGGGGAAAAAACACCTATAAATGGTAAAATTTCAAGGAAAACCATGTTAGATTACCAGAGGGTACCCAGATTTGAATCTGCGCTTTCCTCAGCTACGTTCCAAAGTTGATAGGTTCAATCTCCGATCTGCGTTTCCTTCATGAATAGATATGTGTTTCCGATAACCTCCATAGGTGAAACCTCCAGTGATGATGTTCCTATGAAATCCTCCATTTATACCATTTTCCAGCTCTAAAATGCTATAAACCTCCATTGACTTCGGGGATTCCCGAGATTCCCGCATGGTAAATCTTGATTTCCACCCGAGAATCCCCAGCCTGGCACCGTGGCGTTGGTGCCGGGTGTGCCGGGCTGAAATTCGCAGACACCCAACTCTCCTGGCGGGCAACAGGCAACGGAAGAGTTCCAGGCAGGGGCTTTTGATCAAATATAATATATATATATATATATATGATATATATATATATGATATATATAGTACTAATGTACCATAGTAAATCATGATAATAATGATGTTGATAATAATATGATACTCATAGTAGCAATGATAATAAAATGCTGGATCCCCATAACAATGATCTATAATTGGGGGGTTCTTAAGGCATAGGGGGGATCCCCGAGTCATCATAGGTTTCAATATGTCATAGTCATCCATGACGACTGGATGATTTGGAGGTACCCGCACTTTAGAAAACCTATCTATAAAATATAGTTCTATAATGTGCAAAGCAATTGGAGACAGATGAATATATAGAAATTGCATGAACTATCCTCTGAATTTATGAATATATAGAAATTGGATGAAATATCCTCTGAATTTTGGCCCTTGAACCAATCATACTACCAACCATAGGCCCGTCTTGTCCCCTGCAAATCTACCAACTGCTCTCAGTCATCATCCATGTCTCCGATTCGTGGCTCATCCCCGAAACAAGTGCTTTACCCTCTGGTGAACTAACATAGCAATGGAAAGATCCACCATTCTTAATGGGAAAATCCACTATAAATAGCCATTTTCAATAGCAAACTGTTAGTTCACCAGAGGGTAGCTACATTGAAAATTGCCCATTTAGTTCGTTGATTTACCGAATTACCATGATTTACCTATTAAAGATGGTGATTTCCATAGGGAACTGTTAGTTTACCAGAGGGTATAACATGTCATAAACCCTCCAAAAAACACTAACCAGTCATGGCAAGTGGGATGATTCTCCAAGTAGCCATCCCTCGTATTATTCCATGAAATATCCCCATTGTGAATCATTATGGCCCCTCTAAATGAACCATTAAAAATACTCGTATCTACCGTATCACATCTCATTGTACTAGTGGGTTGATAGGTTTCCCAATACATAGGTTAGTTCGAATCATCCCCACTAAGCCAGTTAGTGTAACTCCCTATGTCATAACCAATCAATCATCATTTGTCAATGATATCCGCATATGTTCCATAAAAATTCTACTACAACTATAATTGAAGGTTAAATCATGTTGAATCCCAGTTAAGCCCCTATTTCATAACCAATAAACACAGCTATGTTTGACGGCCCAAATGGCCCAACTGGCGCCTTGGTAGGAACAACAGCCCTGGGTGGCTCTACTCGCACACATCAAGGCGCAAGCCCATTGGCTCACCACCTGACACGTCACGGCGTCATCTTTTTGTTGAAGGAAAACATGATGAACATGTACATCAGCCTGTATATTATATGGTGTATATATATATATATATATATTGTGTAGATATGTATAGATTGCTATGATTGCTGCTATTATATATACTATATATAATAATTAGTAGTATTATCATGATTAGTATTACGATATTTATTAGGAGCAGTAACATTATGATTACTATCTATTCACAGCCCTAAAACGAGTCGACTTTCATGCATTTTCACGGCCAAAAGCGTCAGACACCACCCACGTCTGTGATATCGGGTCCAACTGCAAACAAGGGCCGAACCTTGCTAATGATGGGGATTGATGGGGATATCCAAAATCAGATGGAGGATACATGCCTTCATTGAAGTTCCAAGTATCTCCCTATGTTTTGTTGCTGAGAACATTTGTTGCTTGTATTCCTCATCTAGCATCAAAATCGTGATTGTGTGGATAATGTTATTTTTCGCTGGTTAATATATATATATGTGTGTATGTATGTATGTATGTATGTATGTATGTATGTATGTATGTATGTATGTATGTATGTATGTATGTATGTATGTATGTATGTATGTATGTATGTATGTATGTATGTATGTATGTATGTATGTATGTATGTATGTATGTATGTATGTATGTATGTATGTATGTATGTATGTATGTATGTATGTATGTATGTATGTATGTATGTCCTCCATTATTTGTAGCTAAACAACATTAAAGTACTAAATTGCCCTTCACCTATATATTCCCCAGTTGTAGCTTCACCAAGGTTTATCAAGATCCAACAAATTGGGGAATGTTCACCTGTCAAATCTCATCTCAGCCCATGCGCCCGAAAGACAACTGACTTCAGAATTCCAGACTCTGGGAGGTTCCCCAGCCCTTTCTTGCAAAGCAAATACCTACCTTAGGTGGTTCACATCGCGGAAATATTGTGAAAAATTCGAGTGTGTCAGTGTTGGCTCAACATCCCCATGTTTGTTGCTAAACAAGTTCTTGGATGCTGTTGGTAATATTCCCAAAACGCAATCAGCTGCGGGTGTGTAGATACCGGAAAAAAGGTTGGTCTTTATGTGGTGCATACCCATCCAATCGAAGTGAGCACGATTCATTCCAAACCAACATTTGTTTAAGGCCTGGTACATGTTGAGGTGATTTAATTCAAATATCATTTGCGAAAATCGGAGTTGGACCCCCACCACATATGAAATATATCTCTAAGGAAACCCAGGTTTAGCAGCAAAATAATTGATGTCATGAATAATCACCATATGCAAACCCTGGCCATTACATCTAATTATATAATTCTAATTATGTGGGATGCTTAGTACTGAAAAATCATTATTACGAAAATATATATGATATGCTAATGCATAAGTGACTTATTACTTATTACTATGTAGTGATTTTAATGATATATGTCAATATATGTACTCTTATGAAATACCTTTGGGCCACAGACCCAGACCTCCAAAATGCATATCAGAATTCCAAAATGCATATCCCAAAATGCATATCAGTTTGGTAGCCTTTAAGAAATGCATATCAGGGCAGCTCTTTAATTGTCTTGCTATCATCAATGTTGAGCAAGGTGTCTAGGTGCAACATTGTTTCTCTATTTTATTTGCTCTGCTATGTTGGGATGTCACTGTTCCAGGGCTTCAAAAATGCATATTTCCACAAAATGTCTGATTTCAACCATTTCCATCAATATGCATTTTTGAGGCATTGGGAATATGCAAAAAATATGCATTTTACCTAGGAAAAATGCATATTTTCACCCCATAGCAAATTCTGAAAAATGCATATTGCAAAATGCATATTTTTTGAGTATGTTTTACAGCCTCTGCTCAAAATGCATATTACTTTTGGGTCCGCCACATGTCACTGGTGTTGGATTCAATCATGGAGTCAAGGGCCTTGGGGCCTTGGGTTTGCTGGAACTGGAGCAAATGACGATTGAAGAAAGATGATGTACATGTATTTTAAAAAAATAGTGTAAATAACAGTAAATTCAGACCATGCAATGTAGTGACTACTGACTAGTGTCGTAGGACCACATATATATATATGATTACATCACTTGAAAATGCAAGTAAAGCCAGCATTGCGTCTCTAGAAGCTTTCTTTGTTCATTGACTACATGGTGGTTTGGGGATAGTCGTTAGCAGATAGGACCTGCTATGTTGTATGTTCAATGGACAGGCATGATCTCTATATGCATTATAGTATGCATTCAGTGGTGGGGCAACTGAAACATATGCATTTTTGAATATGCATTTTCAAATTTTGAATATGCATTTTCCTGGATTTTTGGGCATGGCTGCTGTAGCCAAAGGTATTTCATAAATGTACTCCATTTGCATATTGGGATGTGTATGTTTCCGTTGATACATCGTCCCAACAGGGATCCACGATGGCCAGAACTGCCCTGCTGATATCGTGATCGTTCATTATTCTTATTACGTTCATATATCATAAATACTTGATATAGAAATAGAATATTATAATATCTATATATATATACGTATATGTATGATTCCTAATTATTAACCCCCATTTATTCCTCCAATATGGGAATTCACCAGTTCCCATCCATCGCACACAGTGGCGCCTTTCCCTCGGTATCCTTGCTGGAGCCCATGGTCAGGTTCACCGTCTCCGAATGCTCCTGGCCCTCCTGTGCCGCGCAGAAGGCGGATGATTTTCACCGATGTTCACCAGGGCATAAAATCATCAACACGACATCAGTCAGAAGTTCAACACGGCATTTCAGGGATATTAAAATCACCTATTTTCACCATAGAATCACCATAGAATGCCATCTTTGGGATGAACTATGGCGATCTGGGCGAATCGATGGTACTTTTCTCAGATGGCAAGGGGAAAATCCATGGTAAATCCATTGCCATCGCCATGGGTTTTATCATCTGCAAATGGATGGTTTTTCATGGCTATATTACCAGAGGGTACATGGCAAATGGCCATAGTGTGAGATTGCTTTATCATATGATTTATAACTTGGTGGTTTAAATTGGGTAATTCCCTGCTAGTTACTTTGACCTCTAGTGGGTTAAGTGGTAAATCCATCTAACCAAAAAAAATGAATCAAGTTGACTTAGTCTGTATGTGTTGTAAGATTTGAACAGTATGTTGTTGTGTTTTAATATATGTAACCCAATCTGGTTTTATTCAAACCATATAAGGTGATGGTAAAATAAAATATATATCGTAGTATCAAATGGCATCATGTGATTTGGTTGAGTCTTCGCTATAGTTTTTCTATGGCTGCATCTTCATGTTTACATCCTTTAACTATTTTTGAGTGACTCAGTGTCTTCAACGGTCTTCGAAAAATGTGATATGAATCATGTCAAATCCATGGTTTCAGCGTTGAGGTCGTTGTAAGGTGGCGAAAAAAAATCGCTCAGATTCTCTGCATTTGTTAATGATACATTTCCACAAAGTGGGTAAAACAATGCCATAAACCACCCATGACTGGGAATGGTAAACATACCACCTATATATTTTTGGTGATGACTGGGGGATGGTTTATGAAATTGGTTTAACCACATGAGTGGTTATTGGCGGTGGTTTCGCACATCATGGACATGTCCAATTTCACTACCAACATCTGCCCGGCTACCGGCTAGCACAGCAGGATCGCCTCCGTCATCCGTGGCAAGTGAAAATCACCTAGAAATAGAAGTTCGAATCCGAATGGAAAATTCATCAAAATCGACGATCTTCCATGGCCATCTTTGATGGTTTATTTCATGGTTTATTTCACCCACCCACTCTCCAACTAATGAAATTTCGTGAAATTCATGGTTTATTTCACCAACTAATGGTTTATTTCATGGTTTATTTCAGCCATGGTTTATTTGAAATTTCGATGGCTTAATCATTTTTTTCTGATTTCAGCCACTCACGAGGCACAGTAATCGATGAACGGTGAACCCTCCAAAATAGTACGGCATGATTTACCAATCTATGATTGCAAGGCAAAAAAAAATCATGGTGAACCCCCAGATTGATAACAATAAATACCATCTATGATTTACATTGATTTACCATCTATGATTGCAGTGGTCACCTGTAGAGGTGGCGCTTATCCCATGGATTTTTGGATTTTTCGGCAGGACCCCGCCTGGGGCGTTCCAAAACGATTCGGCGGCACGGACTTGAACTCCTGGTCACGTTCCGCAGTGGTGACAGATCTATTTGAAATCGCCAAACATGTATAAAAATGACAAAAATGTTGGTTTTAGATTGGTTTTTAGCTGGTTTTGATGGTTTTTTGATGGTTGAGAGTTTGATGCTTGGAAACCAGTGGCTATGGGTCAACTGTTGCCGCAGTGCCCAGTCTCATCCCCTCCACAGCAATCAGTTACCAACATCAGGTGGGAAAACCCGTCCGAAGTGAGCCAGAACAGACCGTGAGATTACGCATTTCCATAGACTCCTGACATCTTTGTTGAGTTTCCAACGCATTTTTGCTGCTTAAAGATCGATATGTTTTTTTTCTGACCCCCAAAGTTTGGAGTTGAACCCCCGTGAAATGGGGAAACTTGCCCCCGGGAACCTCAGAAGTCAGCTCTGGATTCAACCCATGGTTTTGCCACTGGGAAAACATGAAAGACCCCGCAAGCAGAAACATCAGCAGTGAAAATTTCTTGCACCTGATAAACATGTTCAATCTGGAACACCGTCCCAAAAACATCTAAGACAAACTTATGTGTTCAGTTCTGGTTGCTTTACAACAAGCCATCCTAATAGCAACCGTTTACCGACCCGACTCGCTGGCCCAAAGGTGAAACAGGACGATCCGCCAAGAATGAGGCAGTAATGAGGCAATCGAATGACCCTCAACATTTGCCAAGCCAAAACAATAACGACAATGAGGTTTTGACATGTTTTGACCATGGTAATTGGGGGATGTATTTTCAGGCAAACATACATGGCTATGAGTCAAAACCCTGGTACCTAGTGAACCCCAAAATAGCTGGTAAATGGATGTTCATCCCACTAAAAATGTATCTATATGTATTGACCCATACCCACATATTCATACATATTCTAATAACAAGAATCAAGGATGTTGTTTTCAGATGACCGTTGCAAAAAACATGGTGGCTCCAAATAAGACCAACAAATTCTTAGGTTCAAGTTTCTTCAGGTACTAGTATGTGTACACAAAAGACTAGTGTTGCTTAACCCACTAATAGCCATATATCTGTTGCTGTCATATCCCATTGATACCCCACATTGATATCCATTTATATCCATTCATATCCAACAAATGTTGCTCATATCTGCCCTTTCAATGAGATATCCCATTCATATTCCACTTCTATTCACTTCTGTGGTTCCACAAATGGGGGATCCCCAATAGCTGGATGGTGTTTGTAATGGACAATCCCAATCTAAAATCAATGGCCATTTCAGGAACTTAAATTGGAGGTACCTAACATATATAAGGCCTATTTTTCAGGCCTATGTAAAGGGATATACCCTCAAAATATGGCCTGAAAAATGGTACTGACGTACCTCCATTTTAGGATCCTGAAATTCCCATTGATCTGTCATTGGATTGGTTGAAGGGAAAATCTTAACCGGAAACCAGGGTTTTTACCATGAAATATGGGCGGGTTCCGGTTAAAATGTTCCCTTCAACCAATCCCAATGGATGGTGAACTGAATGATTTTGGGATGGCATTGCTCCTGGAAGGGCCCTTGTCGTCGCATATGCCGGTGCCGCCTCGCAAACACGGAGCATCCACTTGGGGGAACAGCAACAAAGATCTTTGCCTTATATGGGGATATGTATAGAATGTGTGAATGGTATACAAATATAATAGAGTATATATACAATATTATATATAACATATAATAAATAATATATAGTATATACTAAATATGTACTATGTAATATATAATATATTAAAAATATATATATATATTCTATATATAATGATGTAAACATATATAAGATGTATAATATATAATAAATAGTATCTAACTATAAAATATATGTATGTAATATATAATATGTACTATCTAATATATATATAATATGTAATATATATATATATAATATGTAATATATAATATATGTCATATATCATATATAACATATAATATATCATACATAATATATAATACATATCGGATAATATATATATAGTAAATTTGAATAATGTAATATATGTAATACATACAATATAATACAAAATATATAATATATAAATATAAAATATATAATACACAATATATAATATAATAAACAATATTAAATAATATATATATATGTAATATTTGAAATATTTATAATATGTAAAATATATATGTATAATACATGTGATATATGTATAATATATGTATAATATATGTACAATATTTAAGTAATACATATATATAGCGTATATAGAGTATACACATATACATATACATATATATGTATATATATATACACAATTATGCTACATATACATCATAATTACATTTAATTACTTTCAATTACATGGCCTTTGGACAAAATGTTTTTGCGTGTTGAATATGCCATAGCCAAAACAAAGGTCGTGCTCATGAAACATGTTAACATGTTCAGTGTTCAGGTCAACTGTGAAAATCAAAGAACAAAACAATATGGGTGTGTCTCAGAATAAGTAGTCAATGGTAATCGTACTTTAAACCTCCAAATTTGATGTTTTAAACAGCTTAATGGGAAAAACAAAATGATTTTAAATCATCAAATATGATTTTAATTGTTTTTACATGAATCAGGGCGATACTCCAATTTTCATGGTTGTTTAATGTACAAAGCCATGTGACTCACCCATCTTTGGTCAAGCGCTGGGCCCTCAACAATTTCATGGGTCGATCTGCTGAAGACTCGGCATCTTCAAAACACCCAACTTCTACCCACGGACCAAATTACAGATTCCCTGTCCCCACAAAGTGAACACATTTCTGTCGGTATTGCTTGAGGATATCTTGAGACATTCAGTTGATTTTCCGCTGGCGAATGATCCCACTACAGCTTCAAACCTCCATGTGGATGGACACCAAAAAAAAACATCTTTCACCGGCAACTATTGGGATTCCCATCTGGGATTTTCTCATGGTTAATGGATGTTAATGGGATAGCCTCTGGCAAACGTTCACAGTTCGCGAAAATCACCATCTTTAAGTTCGCTACATCAACTATTTCTACCATTTTCTACCATGGCTTCCAGTTACCAAACTGTAACAGTCATTTCCAGAGGCTACCCCGAAATGGCCATGATGAATTCCGAAGTCCAGTGGAAAGTCAAACATTGGCCTGGGAAAGTCCCGAACGAAATAGAGGTTTTAAGATGTATAGCTTGGAAAATCCGTGGTTTTTGGTTCACAAATTCCAGTTTATCCCATCCATTCCCATCCTACTCATAATTCTCATCTATTGTTAGCGAAAATCCGAAAAAACATGTCGCCGTTGATGGCTAGAAATGTACTCAAGAAAACCAGCCATTCTCCAGATGGTTTCAATCCACCATGGTTTACCCATTGGGCCAGGAGTTTGATGGGTTTGAAACCCATACTTACTTCAATAGAGTAAATAGAGCATGTTAATCCCATGTCCCCCTAATATTAAAACCCTCCTAAATGATCCCAATCATGTGGGAAATTCCCTGCTAAACCATGGTTTCCTTTGGGGGTGTTTAGCAGTGAATTTCATGGTTGTTTCCGTGGTTGTTTCCCAGTTAGATGTATAAGGTCTGTAAAGCCCCTTGGCTATTCTAGTTCAATGAATATCACCGTAAACTATAGTTGAGTTAGTTATGTTCACCAACTTAGCTATCATAAATCAACCATAAAAACCCCCTTGTTCTATTTCTTGGTGATGTTCACCGTTTCTTAGCCATTCCCAACTCCCAGCCGCGCAAGTGCAGCTTCCCCCATCGCCTGACACCTTGTTGTTCCTCCGCTAAAGTGGCATCAGGAAGCACCTTAGGTCCCACTCAGGTAATATCCCGCCACTGAGAAAAACTATGGCATTTGGGCACCGACCGCATACGTAACATGTACAGTAATTTACTTAATATCCATATTTACAGGTACATGTATATGTATATGTATATTGTATGTATGTATGTATGTATGTATGTAATGTATGTATGTATGTATGTATGTATGTATGTATGTATGTATGTATGTATGTATGTATGTATGTATGTATGTATGTATGTATGTATGTATGTATGTATGTATGTATGTATGTATGTATGTATGTATGTATGTATGTATGTATGTACTGTCTGTATGTCTTACTGTATGTCGTAGTCATGTCTGTCTGGTCTGTCCGTACATGTATGTATGTCTGTCTGTCTGTTTTCACCTGTCTGTCTGTCTTTCTGTCTGTCTGTCGTCTGTCTGTCTGTATGATATGTCTGTCTGTTCTTCTGTCTGTTCTGTCTGTCTTTCGGTCTGTATGTCTTTCCTGTCTGTCCTGTATGTATGTATGTATGTATGTATGTATGTATGTATGTATGTATGTATGTATGTATGTATGTATGTATGTATGTATGTATGTATGTACATGTATGTACATGTATGTATGTACATGTATCATACATATATATATATACATACATTACATACCTATATCTTATTGATGCTTACAACCCCTATGGCCCTATGAAATGGTGGTTAATTCCCAATGGTTGTCGGTTCAATCCCAAGTCTTCTTGGCTTAACCCCCGATTTCTGCCGGCTAAGACCGTATCCCCCAAAACATGTTGTTGAAATCCAAGCGTTTGCTGGTCGAATGTGTAACCAATAACTGGTAAATCCCCAGTAGATGCTAGTAGATTGGCTATATGATCGAGTCATCATATGAAATTTATGTAGACCTATCAATATATGATATATATGTATATACATATATTTAAGATAATATGTACGAGTGTGTATATATATATATATTAATATAACATAATATAATAAAATATAAATATAAATAAAATATGATATAGTATAATGTAATACAATTAAACGTTAAAATAGTTAAATTATATTACATTACATTATATTATATCATATTATATTTAAAGTTGGTTATTTTTTGTTTTTTAATGTATGTATATGTTTATCATATAATTTTATATTATATCATACTATTTAATATTATGTTATATAATATGATATATTGTTATATTCTATTAATATGATATTATATTATATTTGATTAGATTAGATTAAATTATACTTATATGATAGTAAATTTTAATAAATTACATTATATTATATTATATTATTATATTACTATATATATATATTGTGAATATATTATATAATGTATATTATATATTATATATATATTATTATAGTAAATATATATATATATATACACGTATATCATTCGCCACTAGACTTTAATCTCAATTGCTGGTTGTTGTGTCCTCATAATTGCTGGTAAAACCACGCCATTCTTCACCATTCTGAAGTTAGTTTGCTAGAGGATGCCAGAGGGTAAATCCTCCAAAACAACTCATCCACGCTAAACCCATGTTGTTTCTCATTATTTTATAAATGATGATTAAATCCTCCAATTTGTTGGATCAAGTTGGATCCCAACATTTGAATCACCCGGTTGTCCTGACAATTAAAAAAAAAGCCAGCTCCAACTCCCCAAATGTCCATTTCCACGGCACTGCCAGGGTCAGCAGCAAAACACGGAGTCGGGCCTCAAGGAGGCCAGCAGCTGTTTGAAGCAGCATCTCATGGGGGATTATAGCCAGTTCATGTGAATAACTATGGTATAACTATGGTATATACGATGAGAATATGAATATATATATATATATATGATTTGGATACAACAGGATACATCACCAACAATACTACTAAGGGCTGCAAGACTGAGGTGAAATAAAACATCAAATCAATATACAATCCATCGTAATCATGATCATGTCCACTATATAATTCTCAGAACCATCAGTACCTAATTTATGGGATGCATTTATGGGATGCAAACAAGCTCATCAGTTGGGATATTGTTGGCCCAATAACTATATGATTCTCCTCATACTTGGTATGGAGCTCGGAGCTTCTCCAAAGATGAGGTTTGCGGCAACACTAAAGAAACTCCGTCTGGTAGTAACATTAATATGGATATGTGCATGGTATATATATATATATATATAGACTATATATATATGTATATATATATATATATGTATATATATATATGTATATATATATATATGTATATATATATGTATATATATATATGTATATATATATATGTATATATATGATACATGTGTCTATGATATGTATATATACATATAGTATGATATGTATATATATATATATGATATATGATATATGTTTGTATCTATATATGGTATATGTTATATGTGTATATATATATATATATATGATATATGGTATATGTATATACATATGGTATACATATATTATCATATATACATGTGTGTATAAATATGGAAAATAAGGCCCACTTAGAGATGATTCACTCTTCTGAAGTTCTGTTCATTGTTAAGTATGTGACCTGGGAGGGATACGCTGCCTTGTCGTATGCTGAGTGCAAGAACACTGTGAGAAAGAGACTTAACCAACAGAATCCTGACTTTTCATGGAATTTCATTCATTTTCATGGGATTTCATGGAGTTTCATGGGACAAGAAAAACCCTCGTGTATTCAAATGTGGCAATGAAAAATCCTCCATTGATGGACGATTGGATCCATTGAGCTGAACCTGAAAGAGTTGGGAACCGCAGGTAGGATAGGTTTCTGTTGCCGACTCCTAACTGTATGTTACTGTATCGAACTGTTGGATTTATGGTGTAACTGTATCTAACTGTTGGGTTTATTTTTAGTTGGATGTGTGAACGTAAAGCCTAGATTGCTAACATTGCCATTGGCCGATATCCTTCTGTCTATTGCTGGTGTTAATTAGTTCTATCGGTTACCGGCACCCATGCGGGTATGTCCCACAAAAATGTGGTTTTACTCCAAAATAACGATATGAACAAGGGATAGCGACAAGAATCATAAAACATTGGTACTATGGCTACACCTGTTCTTTCAACGAATGCATATATAGCTGACCTCTATAAGAATCACCCATTTTCAGACACATCAAAATCACCCATTGGTTACATCATATAAATCCCTGGTTGAATCCCCAAGTTCGTTCCCAACAGTGGTTTTTGTCATTGAGCCTCTTAACATTTCCACTATTGTGGCGATATCCCACTATATCCCACTATATCTCACATAATGTATCAACATATCCCACTATATCCCACTATATCCCACTATATCCCACTATATCCCACTATATCCCACTATATCCCATTCCCACTATCTCACTATATCCCATTATATCAATATTTTGGCGTGGATCCTTCTTGGTTCGCAAACAGAATTAGATGTGGAAAAGCCCACCATTTCCAGATCATTTTCCTTGGAACAACTTATTTTACTGGGTTTTCCACATCGGTGCCATGTTCATCCCAGGGTACATACTTGGCTTTGCTCAAGGGGCTCAAACAAAATATACATAGTCCACATAATAAATAGATTCCCCAAATGGTGGGTTTCCCACTCGTAAAATAAAAAATCACCTTGGGCACGTCATAGATACACTACATTATACATTATTGTCCCATTATAGTCTCATTATATCCCTATGAAACATGGGACAATAATGCCATGATATATTGTTATCCCCAATTAATATCATGGTAGTCTTAATGGGTATAATGGGGATATAGTACCATATAACTCATCATTATCATATTGTGGTTTCCTAAAATAGGGGTACCCCCAAATCAGCCATTTGTAGATGGATTTTCCATGAAATAAACCATCCAGCTACTGGGGTACCCCCATTTATGGAAACCCATTAAATAACCCATTTACCATTATTAACCATATCTTAACCATCATTGGCAAGCATTAACAATGTTTAACCATACATATAGGAACATCTACCCAATCAGCTAACATAATTCTCATTAAACCATCATGACATTCCCGTTTTTCCCCAGCGCCGAGTGACCATCGCCCGGCCTCGAACGCTGCAAACACGGACGCTGTGCAACAAACAGGGACGCGTTAAGGGGTCCGTGACTTTACTTTCCATAACAGAAAGGAAACATCAGATTTTAGAAAATATGTATATATCATATTATATAATAAGTAGAAAAAAAACACAAAAATAGACATGTCATGAAATTGCTAAACCTGGCAATAGGAAATAGCCCATAAAAATCATCCATTGACAAGCTAATCCCCCACCGATCATGGTTTCCACAGTTGGAGGTGCCCTAAGTCATGGGGGTACCCCCCAAATAATCCAAAATTGGACAATTTTAGTATTCAAAGCCATGGTGACTTGGGGATGCTTCATATTGAGAAACCCCAACCCTTGCTCTCACATGGGTCAGTGCAATGTCAAGCGAGGAGGAACGTTAACCGTTGATGAAGGATCCGGGGGGTTCCCGCAAGTTGAAATGATTTGCTACTAACATGGTCTCCGACATTCTATAGTACTTTGAAATGTCTACTTCAGACATCCTCAGAATGGTTGTCAAGAAATCATCAGGATTTCTAAAAAATCATCAGTTACGACAATGATCATTCCATTCATTAGAGGATTAAAGAAATACCAATGATTATGTATGATCAATAAATCAGTCAACACAATGATTTTGTGATCACCCAATGATCATCAGATTCTGGGGCAAATTCCATCTCCAATCCCCTCCTCGCAGATCTCTGCGAATGGTGGAAAGGATGACCAGAAGAACGAAGCATTTGAGCCACACACGGCTCTGGGCCAAGGTGGATGTCCATCCCAGGGAAGCGACACGGAAGGAACAGGGGATGTGTTGGTGTTTCCTCAGGTCGGTCTTTGCTTGGAGACAAGCATGTGATATTATGTCCTGTCACTCTTTGACCTATGTTGACTGATACCCAAATATACAAAGAATCAGGAAGAAAAGAAATGCTGCCTGGATTTTCCCGGTGCAATAATTTCAGCTGCGCAAGTGACATGGCCTCCAGAAACGGACGCAACCAAAGTTCAAACAGAGTATCAATGCGTTGAAGGAACGTTTGTTCAGTAACAAAACGTGTTTTGTTTACCCGGTAATCAAACGTTGCAATTTTTAATCCACCATTTAGAGATGGTTTTCCCAGTCATACGTCCATTTCGACGGAATATCCCATTGCCACGTTTGATTACCGGAGGGTAAGCATCAAAGATCTTCGTGCAAGTCTGGAAGGGTTAGCTGGCCACACCCAAACGTCCCCTCTATTCAATGTGTTTGACCTCCACACAACCCAACTCTGTCACATTAAATCCGGAAAACGTAGGTTTTACCGGGTTCCCACAGAGCATGGACAAAGAAGAAATGATGTTTGTTCATTGATTTTGTTGGGTGAATATGTCAGTAAGATCATGAAGGCAGTGATCGGTGTCGAAATCAAATCTGACCCGAAAAAAAATACCCTTCGATAATCAAACATGGCAATGGAAAATCAAGCACCCATTGAAATGGCTGGTGCCATGGTACCCAGGTTGAAACCATCCATCTTATCACTGCGCTAGGCATATTTGGTCGAAATTTGAACTATGATTGCAAAGTGAACAACAAAATCAGAACAGAAACTATATTCCCTCCAGTAAACTATATCACATATGTACTGACTGTAACATAGAGATGAAAAATCATGAAAATGGAAACCCCCTAGATTTTCCATACCTATGCTAGTTTACTAAATAGTATGAATCCAAGACACCCTTAATTTGCCGGTAATATCTTCTCAAGCAATGGACCAAAAATCATCCCATTTAGATAAAACTGCTCTGATGTCAGATGCTTTGCCATTGTTTCTCTGGCAACATTAAAGAATAGCCATTGACGCATTTTTTCTGTAAAAAGATGTTACTAATAACCATTGACAACTATATTCAATAATAGATAGAGATGTTGTCCATTGTCAAATTGTTCTATTGTCAGATAATTGAGATATTCAACATTACAAATATTCTATTGTTCCCGATTCAAAAAGAACCACTCACTGACCAAACCAGGTCAGTGAATTGTTCAAAATTCTCGCCATCCCAAGATCAACCCAGTTATTGGTAATACAGGCTACAAAAAAAATACATATGATATGGGGATATTATAAATATATATATATACATTGATTGTAGAAATATATATATATATATTGATTGTATATATATATGTATATAGACATATTATTTATATATATATATCCCCATATGTTTGCTGGTGAGATCACAGCACGTTCCTTTTGCTCCGAGACGCCCATGCCTGGACATGGAGAGGAGTCGACCAGGAAAAAGGCTGAATGCAACATACAATGAATACGAATAAATCAGCTTTAAGAAATTAACAAATAATTGGGATGTATCCAGAATGAGAGAGTTTATCAAGAAATGGTGGATAAACAGGATACTTCTATATATAATTATATTTATACTACACATAATTTTGTGTGGTTTTTGCGGTATACCCAATGCCATATTTTCATGATGCCCCGGAGCAGGGCTCCGAAGAAATTGGGTATAGCGGTATAGCAGTTCTATGTGATGATGCGTATCAATCACCCCAGTTTTTTGTTTTGTTTACAATCCCTCAAATGGTCAATGGGAATTTCAGGACCCTAAAATGGAGATACCTAAAGCCTGAAATCGAGCCCTAAAAAAATATACCCTCTGGTAATTTAACATAGCTATTGAAAATGGCCATTTATAGTGAGTTTACCCATTATAACCAGTGATTTTCCATTGCTATGTTAGCTTACCAGAGGGTATGTGGTAGATGCCTCCAGTAAATCGGTACCTGAAATAGTCATTGAAATTGGTGTGCCTTCGTTCTTGCTTCAATCAAGAAGTGAATGCCCAAAGACAGCGCCCTCTGGAAATCATGGCGAGTTGACATGACCTGGGTCTGGGTCAAGTCATTGGGGTACCCGGGTACCCCAATAAATAGATGGTTGATACTATTAATACTACTAAACCATCTATTGTAGTATTAACCATCCATAGATATGGGTCTACTATTGGTTAATACTATAATAGATGGTTAATACTATTAATACTACTAAACATTGATCCTAAAATCTGTGGTTCCATCGGGCTTAAATTTTGACCCATATCTACCTGGGTCTGATTTATTGAACAACCTTTACCTCCATAATTTCCCAAATCTAGCCAAATCTTCCATGCCTTCATTGAGGGGTACTGCAGGGGGTGTCATGTGATACATATCTAATCAGATTGACTGGATATGCGTTGTGATGTACGTATTTATTATTTTTTACATACAGCAGTGTTCCTGGCCAGTGTGTTTCTCAAAATTGTGGTCCCCCAAAACAATTTGATTGGTGAATTTGGTTAGGTTTTATAATGTTGCGCGGACAGGCATCCCCCAATTTCTTCCACCATGTTCAGACAAACCCCAATGGTTCATATGCCAGTATCTCCCCCAAGCTGCTTCTCATTTCAATATTTGGTTGCTTAAATTTCCATTCCTGGTGGAAGATAATCCATTCAGGTCCTTTCAGGTTCCATTAACACCCTGAGATGGCTCTCATCTTCGCATCACAATCCCATATTATCCCTGCATATCCCTACATGAAACATATCAAACTGCGTTCTTTTCAGTTGGTTAAATCCAACTGATTGCCGGTTGTCGTATCCCGGCTCCTTGATGTTATATAGATATATATATATATATCCCAGCAAACTCCCATTCTAGTTGAGCAACATCAAAACCCTGGTTGCGAACTGCTTCCACTGGTTTTCTTACAGCTATTCCAGTAATGGATTGCAACGGTCCCTTTTCACTAGGTTAGTAAAACTCCAAAATTAACAAACCACTGGGTTTTTGACACTGCTCAGTTGGTGCCTGGTTTTACTGCGGTATTGCTACCGGCTCGCGAGAGGCAAAGCGCATGGGGGAGCTGCGGTGCTCCTGGGATTGGTGATGGGGTAGATGGGGGATTTACCAGAATGGGATATGATGATAATTCATGTTTAAAAAAATAAAGGGCAAAGAATCGGGGATATTATGTAATGTTGGGGGTAAAGAATGCAATGGTTTTATGTGATTTACCCTCTGGTAGTCAGACATGGCAATCAAAAGGCCCGTAGAATATCAATGTGAAAATCCTCGAACTATTGCTGGTGGATTTTCAAGCAAACCACGTTTGATTACCGGATGGTATCTAAATGGAATTTAACAGGATTAAATTGGGCGGGTACTCAAGAATGGGTGATTTACAACCGAGACTTGAATATGTCTTAATGAAGTATATAATGGGATATGGGATTCAATCTATTAATCAGAAATAGGACACAAATCAGTCTCCCATGTCATTCCCAATCTTGGATGTATGAATTTACCACTGCTCCTGGGTTTAAATGATAAAAATGAAAACACGTAAAATCATACGACCCATATATCTACGATTGACCAAAGTTCATCAATGTTTCCATGAAAATATTGTTTTCTATCATATTCCTATTGCCAATTGTCATCCATGTTGCAGGTTCTGTTCCCATTAATTTGGTAAACTAAATCATACACCATGTTCCGACACACCCAAACCATTCCCCCCAAGTGTTCAGTGTATATTTTTTCCATCATATCCCATGAAATTCCCATTATATCGGATTATATATATATCCCATTGTATCCTCAAATGGTGCTACTTGAATCACCATTTTTGGTGACCAGTTCCGATTTTCTCACTGGCGCTGAACGTAAGGAATGGGGGTTTCATGATCCAATCCCAACAACTATGAATAATCACCCCTCTCCCCCCATTCCCCACAATTATGACCATTTACCAGTTACAAGATGTTACAAGTCAGTGAAATAACCCCATCAAAATTGATACAGTAACTCAAAATCACCAGGTTTTTGACCATAGAAGTAACTGGCATTTCGAGCCATAACTGTACTAAACACCAAACAACTTGGAGGTTTCACCCGTCTTTCGCCATACTGCTCCGCTCCAGATGAAGCATCAAAGCCTCTTTGGACTTTTCCTCCGGTCGCGGCTTGGCGCCCGGCTTGGCCATTACAAACATATGGGGGGGGTCCATAAATGGCTACTAATATATGGTTATTATATGGTTAATTTTATTGTTAATAATTGCTAATATATGTTTAATATATGGCTAATAATGGGTTTCCATAAATGGGGGTACCCCAATAGTTGGATGGTTTATAATTGAAAATCCTACGAAAATGGATGGTTTGGGGGTACCCCTATTTCAGGAAACCTCCACATAATGAAATATATAATGACCATGTTACGTCATCGCATACATGGTTATATGGGATAGATAATTTATAACCAAGAAATGTCAACATGATGTTTGCTTGATTAGGTTGTTGGTTTCCGTTTAAACCCTTCAAGCACTGAGAAAGATTCACGAATTTGTGGGAGGCTGTTTTGCCTGATGCCATATTTTTCAAGGTTGCCGCGAAAGAGAGAGGTTGTTTTTTCAATTCCAATGAACTCAGCAAAAAAGGGATTACAAGATGTGCTGCTACTGATGGTTTTGCTATGTGCATTATGATCACGAGGATGATGATGATGATGATGATGATGGTGATGGTGATGGTGATGGTGATGATGATGATGATGAAGATGATGGCGACTCACAGTTTTTCACAATTTTCCTCATCAAAACTGCCATAATTCGGCATATCCCCTTTTGGACTATCACATATGTCTTTGT